TACAGCAGCAGGTAAAGGAGTTTGCCTCCAAGCCTGTGATCTGAGTTCAATCCTAGGGACCCACATGGTAGAAAGAGAAAAATGATTCCCACAAATTGTCCTCTGACCTCCATGTATGTGCTATGGTACATACATGTCCATATACATACACAAAGAAAATTTTAAATAAAAAGTATTGAGTCATAAGAATTATGTTATGGTCAGGCACTGCCTCTTCCACCTCTATTTGCCACAGTATTTGAGAGGAAACTCACTAAGCCAGACTACCTTCTCTCAAACATTTTGGAATGGTAATGTGACAGTTTCCTCTGAGACACTTTTCCTACTTGAGTAACTTGTACTTGAGTTTCCAGACAGATCCCTGGAGTCCTAAGGCAGTTTAATCTTGTTTGCCTGGGAGTGACTTGTGCTCTTTACCACTTATTTACATTTGATCCATTTGGGCTGGAGAGATGGCTCAGCATTAAGAGCACTGACTGCTCTTGCAGAGGACCTGGGTTTGATTCCCAGCACCCACATGGCGGCTGCAAACTGTCCTTAACTCCAGTTCCAGGGGAATCTGAGGCCCTCTTCTGACCTCCACAGCACTGCACAACACAGGTGCACTCACTTGCATGCAGGCAATATCCTCATACATGTAAAATAAAAATGGTGAATAAAATGTTTGGGAAAAAAAAAAAATCATTTTGAAAAATATCCCAGAATAGACATGAGGAGGTGGGTAAGAAGTTCCAATCCCATCTAAGGAAACTGTGGCAAAAGATGGCTGCTGGGATGGGGAGAGACAGTGTCTTTCAAGCATGAGAATCTTGGTAAATTAACCAGGCTTCAGTGGATGGACCTACACAGAAGGACATTTGGGAGCACAAATTAGACTCTACAGACATATTACATATATAAAATACAGTACATTAAATTGGGTGAGGAACAATAAGAGGAGTTGAGGATAGGGGAGAGGGCATCTAAATACCATCAAATTATATTGTACAAAAATTGCAAAAATTCAATAAAAATTTTAAAATATTCATTCTAAA